TGTGTGTCTGCCTGTGTGACTGTCTGTGTGTGACTGTGTGTGTGACTGTGTGTGACTGTCTGTGTGTGTGACTGTCTGCATGTGTGTGACTGTGTGTGTGTGACTGTCTGCCTGTGTGTGTAAATGTCTGTGTGTGACTGTGTGTGTGTGTGACTGTGTGTGTGTGTGTGTGACTGTCTGCCTGTGTGTGTGGCTGTCTACCTGTGTATGTGGCTGTCTGACTGTGTGTGTGTGTGTGACTGTCTGCCTGTGTGTGTGTGGCTGTCTGCCTGTCTCTGTATGTGTGGATGTTTGCCTCGGTGTCAGTGACTGTCTGCCTCTGTGTGTGCTCGCACCTGCTAGTGAGGGAGCCTCTGTGTGTGTGTGCCTGCTAGTGAGTTTGTGTGTGTGTGCCTGCTAGTGAGTGAGCTTGTATGTGTGTCAGTGAGCTTGTCTGTAGGGATCATATGTGTGTGTGTTAGTGAGCTCTTGTCTGTAAGGAGTATGGGTGTGATCGTGGGCTTGTCTGTAGTGAGCGTGTGTGTCAGTGAGCTTGTCTGTAGTGAGCATGTGTGTCAGTGAGCTTGTCTGTAGTGAGCATGTGCGTGTCAGTGAGCTTGTCTGTAGTGAATCTGTGTTAGTGAGCTCTTCTGTAGGGAGCATGTGTGTGTCAATGGGCTTGTCTGTAGGGAGAGTGTGTGCGCATCAGTGAGCTTGTCTGTAGTGAGCGTGTGTGTGTGACAGTGAGCTTGTCTGTAGTAAGCTTGTGTGTGTATCAGAGTTTGTCTGTACTAAATTTGTGTGTGCCAGTAACCTTGTCTGTGTGTGTCATTGAGATTGTCTGTCAATGAGCCTATTTGTGTGCATCAGTAAGATTGTCTGTGTCTGTGTGTGAGTATGCTTTACTGTATAATTTAATTACCCTAAAATAACTAATATTTTGAATTAGAAAAAGAAAGGTATCAATAAAATATATATATATATATATATATATATATATATATATATACACACACTATTGCATCACCAGGGCTCCAGTATCCAGGCAATTGAAATAGTTGGCTGCACTCTCAGATTTCCTTAAAACGTAAATTTTATTGAAATATTTAAAGGACCACTCTAGGCACCCAAACCACTTCAGCCTAATGAAGTGGTCTGGGTGCCAGGTCCAGCTAGGCTTAACCCATTCTTTTATAAACATAGCAGTTTCAGAGAAATGGGTTAAGCCTTCCTCCAATTCCTCTAGCGGCTGTCTCATTGACAGCTGCTAGAGGCGCTTGCGTGATTCTCACTGTGAAAATCACAGTGAGAGCACGCAAGCGTCCATAGGAAAGCATTGATAATGCTTTCCTATGTGACCGGCTGAATGCGCGCGCAGCTCTTGCCGCGCGTGCGCATTCAGCCGCATGGGAGGAGAAGAGGAGGATCGGACGTTTTTACCCCTTTCCCCCTTCCAGAGTCCGGCGGGAGGGGGACCCTGAGGGTGGGGGCACCCTCAGGGCACTATAGTGCCAGGAAAACGAGTGTGCAGCCAACTATTTCAATTGCCTCTATATATTTATAACACCCTACGTAGCACAATGACTTATGGGGCTGGCATAGATTTTTTTTCCAGGGCTGCTTCGGATGCCCTGTCCCCCTCCCGCCGGGCTGGATAGAGAGGAAGGGGTTAAAACTCACCTCTCTCCAGTGCCAGGCTCCCTCGACGCGGGGAACTCTCCTCCTCCTTTCCCCATAATCGGCTGAATGCGCATGCGCGGCAAGAGCGTTCATTGAGAATGCTTTCCTATGGATGCTGGCATCTTCTCACTGTGAAAATCACAGTGAGAAGCGCAGAAGCGCCTCTAGCGACTGTCAATGAGACAGCCCCTAGAGGCTGGATTAACCCTAATGTAAACATAGCAGTTTCTCTGAAACTGGTATGTTTACAGCAGAAAGGGTTAATCCTAGGTGGACCTGGCACCCAGACCACTTCATTAAGCACATGACGATTTTTCGCACAGGGCGCCCAAAGGCCTAAGGCCTGTTAGTGACGCTATAGTGTTTCTCTAAGTATGACTGCTTGTCTTTGTGACTGTGTGTATACTGTGACTGTATGTGTGTCTGTATGACTGTGTATATGGCTGTGTGTCTGTATGACTCTGTGGAGGATATTTAATTGTTCTAAAAAGTAATGGATTGATAAGTCCATTGCATTTCCCCAAAAAAACATGAATAATCAAAAAGTGTAGTTATGGTGCAAAGAAGCAACAGATGAGATATCTAAGATGCAGATCAAACATTATGTTTGAATTTATTTTTATTTCACTAAAATTAACGCACAGCTCCCACTCAATCACACTCAGCCAAACACAATAACATGCAGCCTCCCCACAGACAACCACCATACACAATCACACTCAGCCAACCACACATATAGCCCCATGCCCATCACACTCAACTATCCCACACACACCACTCTGTGACACATGCAGGCACTGTGAACATAACTGAGTTTTATTGGTATGGAGCTCTGTGACACACTTACTGTTGTATTGCTGAGGAGTTCTGAGAATCAGTTATTTCAATGTGCAAATAATGAATACTTTCCCCGTACATGCTAATGTCTTAACAAAAAAGGAAAAATGTATGGTGCACATCTGTTAAATTCAGGGGGGGTGGGGGAGGGTCCCCTAATCCCAGGCAGAACTGGGACATGCATGTGCCTGTCTGCCTGAGAGTAATGGGAGTCATATATCCACAGTCCTTCCCTAAAAACTCCCACTACCCTAACATACTACATAAACACAAAACATTAACCTATAAACTACACTAACACTAACTATCAACCTCTACACTACCCTAACATTATAACTCTACCCCTGCACTACTCTGGAACGTATTCTACAACTAGCACTAAACCTCTACTTTCCCTTAATTTCAAACCCAATAACCAGAGCCTATAAATATAATGTAATATAAAATATGTATGTTAAGAATAGTGATGTCCCGAACTGTTCGCCGAACGGGTCGCCGCGAACGGTTCGCCACTGACTCATCATTGAGTAAACTTTGACCCTGTACCTCACAGTCAGCAGACACATTCCAGCCAATCAGCAACAGACCCTCCCTCCCAGACCCTCCCTCCCAGACCCTCCCACCTCCTGGACAGCATCCATTGTGAAGCTGCATTCTTAGTGAGCTGTCCAGGAGGTGGGAGGGTCTGGGAGGGAGGGTCTGCTGCTGATTGGCTGGAATGTGTCTGCTGACTGTGAGGTACAGGGTCAAAGTTTACTCAATGATGAGTCCCCGGCGAACCGTTCGTGGCGACCCGTTCGGCGAACAGTTCGGGACATCACTAGTTAAGAATTAAGCTTGTATTGGATGAAAAGAATGCCATCTCGAGGGTTCCACAAAAAATGTATAAACCACTTGACCTTTGATCTTGTGGTTTTTTTATAATGTTTTTATTGAGGTATAATAAGTAAAATACTGTAATCCAGTAGAATACACATTACTAGGCTATCCAGATAGCACATTTCCTATCTCGAGGGGATATAATAATTGTCTTAACGTATAATGCAATGGAGAATGTCTATACTTGATGTTGATATTAAGGGATTAAATGTCTACTTTATGAGTAAACCACAAATGAAAACGGTTTTAAAAGACTCAATAGTAGGTAGAATACTTACAACAATTACCTCTCCAGAGTTTGTTCTCTCCGAGACACACTGTTGTCTAACAGGTTCTACAGGTGGGGAGTAGTCCTGCAAATTAAACTTTCATTCATTTGCGTCCATGGGAAAATGTTTTTTGGAGGAGGCTAAAAGCCAAATTTAAACATTTTTGACATTACTGCATAATGCTAGTCATTTGATGATGGATTATTTGCTTTTTGTTAATCGGAAAACCTGATGAGCAGCTTTTTGAAATGATACTCTGCCAAAGAATGGCAAAGCTAAAGAGCAAACAGTTAAACATTAATCGCGCAGTTGTCAAGTTTATAAAATTTCTAACTATTAGAGATTTGCATGGAAAGAATTTTCAGTTCTTTTCAGTCATTCTTTTAGTTTATTTTTTCTTTTCGGTTCTTATCACATTATTTTACCTAGTCATTTACATTGAACGTAATTCAGTGATTTAGTTTATTTACCGAATGTCGCACAGCGGTTAAACTCTAAGGCCAAAGGCCCACTGGCAGCACTAAAAGTCAGTGGGCAAATATTGAATAACCCATGGCAGTGTGATGGTTAACCATGTGATATAAATGGAAAAGAAAAAAACTACCAATAGGTGTCTCAATGTTGGGTATAGAATCATGATCTTGTGTGCAGTTGATAGCAGCCAGTATATCTTGCATAAAATCTACACTTACATTCTTTCCACTCTTTTTTTTTTTTTTTTAAAGATATAAATCGTTGAGCTCTGCCGTAAGTTCCTCGGGAACCTTATTTAGACCCAGAAGAAACTAGGCTTTGACATTCATGTTGTGAGTCTAGATAATTAGAGTGACCCAGATGCTATGGAATGTATGTCAGCATCTATTGCTGGGATGGCACAATTCCATAAAGCAACTGGGTCAATGATGTCCTCAAATAGCCAAATTGCTGATAGCTTAGCTGGGGTAATGTCAAATAACACGTCATAAAGTCCTGTATAACAAAAGCAGTTTGAACATGTGGAGCAAGACTATCAGAAGTAAATTCTTCTCCACTGTTCTGTGTTGGTGATATACCCTTCCTGGCTCATTTATTGTCTGCAACCTAGAAAACCTATTGGTAATGGTAACACTTAGGAAGTAGTAAAATGGTGCTGATGTATTAACCAGGTTTAAACCAGTGTTGCATCACTAATCACAAATTATTGAAGATTTAAAGTGTTTCTGCGTGACAGCGAATTGCAGGAACTGAAAAATGAACATCAAACCTTGGCTGAAATAATTATGACTATAGCTGATTTGGAGGAGTTTTTCAGCTTAACGATTTGGGGCTAAATTCTGGAGTTTAATTTTCCACTCATTAGAATTCAAAGTTTAGTGAACAAACCCTTCGTTAAACTCACCCATACCAAAAGTGGAGCAATATTCTGTGTGCACCAATAAACAAGTCTTATTTTTCTATGTGCACAATGGCTAATTTGTAGCTACACATATACCATTCCCTTCCCCTCTCCTGTACCTGCTCACAGCCTTGTATCATGTGACCGTGAGCCACCATAACTTCAGGGCCAGCGCGGTTGCCGGGTGACCGGCAGTAATAATGTGCTGCTACCCTCCTGCCACTGTGGGTAGCATTGCCAAGTGGACTGCTCACTGACGGGTAACAAGGCTGTGAGCAGGTACAGGAGAGGGGAAGGGAATGGTATATGTGTAGCGGCTGGGGGGGGAGGAGGGAATGATACATATGGAGGGGTTGGGAGGGTGGAGGGAATTATATACATGGAGAGAATGGGGGGGCAGAGAGAATGATATACATGGAGGGGCTGAGGGGGAGGAAGGAATGATACACATGGAGGCGCTGAGGGGGAGGTGGGAATTATACACATGGAGCAGACTAGATGGGCCAAATGGTTCTTATCTGCCGTCACATTCTATGTTTCTATGGAGGGGCTGGGGGAGGGAATGAAGCATATGAGGGGGCTGGGGGGAAGGATTGAGGCACATGGAGGGATTGAAGAAGAGGGAATTATACACATGGAGGAGCTGGGGGAGGGGACCCCTTTAAAAAAATCTCAGCTGCAAAGTACTGCTGGGAGGAAGTGGCCGTCACTTCCTCCCAGCTCCCTCCCCTCCGCGTGGGAGGGAAGAAAGCCAAGCTGCAGGAGCCACGCCGACTCCCATCAGCCACAGCCTTCCACCTGCAAAAAAAAGTAAGAAAAATTAGCTGTATTTGTGTATGTCAGTATGTATCTATTTCTGTATGTATGTCAGAATGTCTGTATGTATGTCAGAATGTCTGTGTGTGTGTGTGTCTGTGTGTATGTATGCCAGTATGTATGTATGTCAGTATGTGTATGTATGCATGTCTGTGTGTGTGCCTGTGTGTATGTATGTCTGTGTGTATGTGTGTCTGTGTGTATGTATGTCAGTATGTATGTATGTCAGTATGTATGTCTATGTGTGTAAGTCAGTATGTGTATGTATGCATGTCTGTCTGTGTGTATATATCTGTATGTATTTCAATGTATGTATATGTCTGTGTCTGTCTGTTTATATATATGTATGTCAGTATGTGTGTGTGTGTGTGTGTATTTATGTCCTTATGCGTGTGTGTGCAGTGTGCCTTGGAATTTGTTCATATTGTTTATTGGCCGGACCCCAACAGAGTCTGAGGGACCGTGAACTGGCCCCTTGTTTAAAAAGTTTGAGGACCCCTGTCATTATGTATGTATGTCATTATGAATGTATGTCTGCATGTCATTATGAACGTATGTCTGTGTGTAATGTATGTATGTCAGTATGTCTGTATATATGCCTGTATGCCAGTATGAATGTATGCCATTATGAATGTATGTCTGTGTATGTATGTGTGTATGGATGTCAGTGTCTGTATGAATGTATGTATATATGTATGTCAGTATGAATGAATGTCTGTGTGTATGTATGTCGGTGTATGTATGTGTATGTCCTCATGCATGTGTGTCTGTATGTATGTTAGTATGTGTCTATCTGTCACTATGTATGCCTGCGTGTCTGTATATGTGTGTATGTCTCAGTATGTGTGTGTCAGTATGTATGCCTATATGCGTGTATGTCTGTTTCAGTATGTCTGTTAGTATCTTTGTGTGTGTGTGTATCTGTGTCATTTTGTATCAGTGTGTGTTTTTGTGTCATTTTGTATCAGTGTGTGTTTTTGTGTCTGTGTGTGTATTCCTGTGGGCGGGATTTGGAGGCGGGCACTGTGGGCGGGATTGGAGGCAGGCCCCAGGGGGCCCAGACCCTGAGCTGAGTTAGGGGCCCCAAAATTTCTGGTGGCGGCCCTGGGAATGATACACATGGAGGGGCTGAGGGGGAGGTAATGAGACACAGGGAGGGGCTGGGGGAGGGAATAATATACATGGAGGGGGGAAATGAGGTGCATAGAGGGACTTGGGGGAGGGAATGAGACACATGGAAGGGCTGGGGGAGGGAGTGAGACACATGGAATGACTGGGGGGAATAGAGACACATGGGGGATAAGACAAGGAGCGGCAGGAGGTGTACAAGACACATGGTGGTAGCCCTAAAGCAATTTTGACACTGGGGCCCAGTGGTTTCTAGTTACGCCTCTGTCTATGAAATACTGATTTAAAAGATGGAAATTGTGATTTCAAGAATAATTTATGACCTCATTAAAGAAATAAAAAAAAATACATCATGGGTCCATACCTGCCCATAGTCCATCTTAATGCCTTGAGTTTGACTCCCCACCAGGCTCTGAGGCTCCCTGTTGGTCCAGCAATGCACGTCTGTAGAGCCACAGGTGCCGTAAACTGCGGCCATTACCATGCACTGGATGAGAGCATAAGCTGAGCGCTCTCAGCCAATAACTCAGCCCAGTCACATTGCAGGTGGTGCAGTTACACCCCTGGCAGCTAAAGAGTTAATCTCTGTATGTGCACCATGTCTTATTCAAATCACTGATGTATGGTGCTTGGAGTACCCCTTTAAGTTCTGTGGTTCTGAACTTTTTTGCATGGACTAAGGCAGTCAAAACTTGTATTGGGAATCTGTAGCTTTTTTTTTCTTGTTGAAAACTTTATTATATAATTATATTGCATTATGAGCATGCCATATTTCTTTTGACTGTTGTAAAATTTAGTAATATTTTTAGCATATGCTAAAGCCAATATAGTTAGCATTGAATAACAAAACATGCAATAAATTTGCTAACACAATATTCTTTTCTCTTGGCAGTAACACAATGGCATGCCCGTTTGAATAGAATCCAAATGTTTAGTCAGACATTACTCTGCAGTGACCATGTTAATTACAACAATTATAATAAAGTTTTTGATTCTCTTGCAATATATTTTATATTGGGGCTAACAGCATTTCAGAATAACAAGCTTTCTGGAGTGTTAAAAGAACACCGTGGCGGGGGCGTGGCCGACCGTCAGAGGAAATGGCCGCATGTTAGCTTAGCTCCGGCAAGGCAGGCACTAAAAATAACTGGAACACGAGTACCAACCTGGAGGAAGATAGCAGTGGCGTCTCCAGCATTCATATTTAGGGGGGGCAATTGGGGGGCCGGGGACAGAAGTAGGGGGGCAATTACAAAACGT